ATCTAGAATTAAGCTCCCCATCGGTATCAGTGTCGGATCCGGTACCGTTGAAGCATTCCGTTTGATAATGGGTGCACTATCGTACTTCCTCATGTGGCCTTTCGCACACATATGGTCGGTAGGCAGTGTGGAGAAGTTGAATCTCGCATGTTTCGCTGATATTTGAATGGCAAAAGTTTTGTCGATCGCTGTAGCTTGTCCACTAGGCAGTAGTCACTACTTCGTTACATTATACTGCTTGCCAGGTTTCACTTAGATTCGTATTGAGTGCTATTATCCTTATACAAATAAATTCGTACGGATTCAAGTATAATTCTTAGAGAGGTATTTAAATACATACATATGATAATTCCTTGAAGATTTTCAGGATTTAAGCGTGTATCAGTTTATCCGATTTGTCGTTTTAAAGGCACTTCCGTTCATCGATAAGTTTTCCAAGTTTCGTTTGCTCTATGCATTCGTACCATTGCCGACCCAAATTTCGTTTACCAGTTCGTCCTCTGCGATGATTCCTCAGACCTGATTGACTATGCCATTACAAATGATCTCACAAAACGCTTCTAGACTCGACTTTTGGAAAGTGAGTAATCTCTGAGTATATTTAGTATAAATCGATGTAGACCGAGCGTACAAACACCTATTCTAGACCCGTTATTGGTCAAGACGCTAAATGACCCTATGTCTTCTTGGGAACTTGTTCTATCACGTTCCTAAAACCCACCCCATTTATTCCCTCAAGTTTTAATATGGTACCACCGCGAGATCCTTTTTTCGATCGATTATCCATTCATTCTTGTATTACCACGTTGCCGCTTCTCGATTACACTTTTACTATTCCTTGGAGGCTGCCTTCTAGACATTCATTTACGTCCTGGATCACTTGACTTATTCGAGTGTTGGTACTTTGGCGCTTTTTGTATACAATTACAGCCGCCGCTAGAAGCTTCACAGTGTGGTTGGTGGCCACACTGAGATCTTGTGCAGTCTTCCAAATGACAATAACACAAGTGAAGCTATCGCAATCACTCGTAGAACATCTATATTCCTGTTGACGCTCTAGTACGTCCACCAGATGGACATATGATAGGCAAGCAACAGATGTCTTCACGGATCGATGCTACCAACTATGTCATGGATTGTATCTTCTGAGCCAGGGTAAATCACGGATGACATCATTTTTAGCCAATTCTAGTGGAATGTAAGTATCATCGTACTGTTTATCTCCTAATGCGTAGTTATCCCCATTATACGTTTCTACCAAGGCGCACTTCATTCTCGTGTGAAGCTTTTCGCAACCAACACTTGATCCTACACATTTCTAGTATCTAGGCGTTGGAAAAGTGCGAAAACGCATCCTTTGCGACTAGGATCGGGGTGAAGTGCCGTTTGTCACTTCAATCTCCATGACAATGAGGGATACGTCATCACTACGAGCAGGAATGCACGGTGACTATAGGATGGAATGATTATCGTCAAGAACTTCAAGACTTCTCCAATTTGCTGGATGAGTAGGGTCTCCACCCGCTGACCCTGACCGTTCGCGACTTCCCAACAACGTCGAACCCGCGCTTCTTTGGCTTCCTTCGGGACGTGCGATCACTCCGCTCAATGTTGTGCGACTCTGGGCGTAAGGTGCTGCACTCATAGGCGTAGTGTTCTAAGTTATGACGTTGATTGCGCCTTTGCAATTGGGTGTTGGCATGATAGCAAGGCATTTCGCTCTCGACATAACCGATGCCAATGCATGCGCTATTAATCTACGCTTCCCTGTCTTGTAGGTGGGATACAGGATGCCAAACTAACTCAAGGTGGCCTCAAGCTAAAGTACTCATAATTACCACGGAATCTCTTGTTCAAACGTCTCCAATGCCAGGCGGAATATGTGTGTCTTATCGGTAGCATCCGCAAGACCGTCGATGAATACAGTAATATGCATTTGCTCATCAAAGGGCTTACACACGATACAACTCAAGAGATGTTGTATGTGTCAAACGTTAGTGTACATATATCACGCTTACCCTACTTTAAGTGCATGAGCTCATCATGAGTCCTACGTCCGGCACGCGGCGGCCTATACGTTTGTCTAAGTCGCTCCCTGCATGTATTATACGACCGAGAATGGTTCCGAAGCTTGCGCCGTAAGGGCCTAGGTGTTGGCACGTCCACCAAGTTGGACATGCCGAACATCACCTACTTCGCATCTTCTTTGCCGAGACGAGCTTCGATGGTGTCGTCGAGATTGACAACATTTATTTGCAAAGAGTTTCCCTCGACCGCCGTGAACTTGTAGATATGAACCTTCTAGATTTCGGCTCGATGCACATACGTCAGCCCGCCAACATCAGCACTAGCTTGCTGTTGTCTCAACACTTCAAACTGGGAAGCACCTTGTCCCCCTTACATTCTGGATGTTTCTAACATCCATGGTGAAACAAGGTTATCTCTTCTTCAGCAGTATCAAGTCTATGCTGTATAAATTTGGCAATTGCGGGATGTCACTCGTCTTCCTTTAGACATACAACATGTTACTTACGACCGGGGAACCTACGGTCGAACTTACTATTTCGGCAGTAGCCCATCCGATGTCACTGGAATGGGGAAAGCCTTCACGTGGAAGCTGCCCTAATTCACCGCTAATCAGGGTGGATGAGACTGTAATCGTTAGACGAATCGCGACGTGCAACCAGGTGCAACGGAACACCTCGATTATACTGATGACAGTATCGGTTAAGCTCCATTGATAACGGTCTTTTTTAGTGCTACGAAACCCCACGTACGCGTACGTGCCCAGGAAGCGAATGGACCTGCGAGAACACGTGAGCCTAAGGTAAAAAGATACATGTTCGTAGTATGGTGCAGCTTATCAATACATATATTTGAGCCTTTCTTGACCATTTATCAATGCAAACACGAACTGCAACTATCTGCTGGCAACGCGCAGCGCTTTCATTATTGATTTAGACGCTTTGTTGGTTGGTGTAATGGCCAGTGTCAACCAATAAGCAGAAGTCACCAAATGTTACCCTATAAATCAACATTTGAGAATGTTACCGAAACCCATAATGTTCGCACGGGCATTTGTTCGAGTCTAAGTCATGTAACGGGGTCCTCTCGTTACGAACAATTTGTGTGTGACAATTGTTTCACTTGACCTTAAAGCTCCGGTTCTTCATCGTGTGACCCGATAAGCACCTATAATCGCGCTCACGCTTATCAACACGTAAAACATCCTTTCTGAGCTGGTTTATTCGTCAATGTCCAGAGTTTGAGATGTCACAGCAACAGACTTCGTCTACATGTTGTCTTGTCCAAATTGTGCATGTCCGTCCTCGCGTCAGTTGTCCTCGCGTCAGTTGTCTTTGTGTCGTGACTTCGGTGCAGACGCTCACTTTGTGTGCTGCGTGAGACACTCGTCTGAAGAAGCAAGCGACCCGCACAGCAACGATAAAATGGCGATTGTCGCGCGATAGCTTGACAATTTAGAGAAGTACAAGCAGCTGTAACTGCAAGCTACAGCTGCTTGTACTTCTCTAAATTGAGCAAACTAAATTGAATCGAGCACCGCCCAGGCGGGAAACTTGAAAACGTGCGTCTAGGATGGAAGTTGTCGCCATTGCCGCTTAGCCTGATAGCTTTAGACGAACTAAAGGGCTGCACATAATGTGAGAGGATTTGTTGGCATATACGTAGGCATGATCCCTGTTTTATACAGAAGTGGAACACGATCTGCTGCTACTTGCGTGGACTTGACAATCGCACGAATGCCCGAAGAGAGCATTGAGGACAGTCGTCACGTGCGGCTAGTCCTGCTGAAAGCTCTGAACTGAGCTTACCGATCCCGTCCGAACGACAGCAACAACAAAATCGGTGTGGTCTGTAGCTGAGGGCGTTGCAACTTCTGCGCTCCGTTTCAGCGGCCAAAGGGGTAGAAACTTTGTGGCGCCTGTGTATGAGACGAATCACTGCAAAGGTAACTGCAACGAAACTATAAAAAGTGGTGGACAGGAATACCTCGACGAGACATGACGGGACGCTAGAATCTGCTTGAAGAACCACCGCGCCAGCGTACTTTTCAGCAGGAAGTACCAGTTTTGTGTTTCATTCGTTTGGCATAGTAGCGGACGAGATGACATGCTGTAAACGGCTACACCCGAGCGCGATCGCTTGTGTTTGTTTGCAAAAGCGATGCCCGTGAAGTTGCTATTGTGTCGTTACGTGCTTGAAACCGACCTCGAAAAGGTGTAGTGAAGGGCCCTTGCACCAACTGGCTCTCCTCATTCACCTAACACACGCAATTAGCTCGTGGATTCAATGTTTATCATTTGCTGCGACATGGTCTTCAACGTTACAAGTCAGCTTCCGTTACGGCTGGTCAAAGGAAACAGCCAGTCAGTCGATCGTTGTGCAATACTGCATCTTTTCGCTCGCTCGTCGGCAGAAAAAACAGCTGATTCACCCACGTCGCGCACCTTCAACTCGAGTGCCCACGTTTCGTGACGTGCATCCGACACGAGCCATTCCATGTCGACTCCAGTCCCGTGTTTCCTTTTGCCTCACGCGCACGTCCATCTGACGTCGTCCACGGGTCTACGTGCAACATAGCCGCTGCCCAAGCAACACCCGCGTCGAAAACAGACGGCGAGTCGCTTCTCTACATACGTGCGACCTCCTGCCGGTCGTGCGCAAAGCCTCTGAAAAGACATATGGTCCTCTTTTTCTACCCAACATGCCCTCGCGCGGGTCGCTGTTCGAACGCCTTCCTGCGACAACTCGACCCAAAGTGCGTCCAGAAATGGGTCGCTCGTACTCAAATCGAAAATCGATGGCTGCCTGGCTGCCCGGCCGTCTGGCTGACAGTAGGTGCCAGCACCAGGCGTAAGTAATCCCAGCAGCTCCCTTCCCTTTTCTTCTGATGGTCGCAAGCGTACCCCCTACGCGGCGAACCCACACATAAATGCACACACACACACACTCATACATAGAGAGAGCGAGAGCGCCAGTCACGCGAGGGAAAAGCCACGTCTCCCATTCCCACATTCCTCGGCCGTTCGTGCCTCCTCCTCCACCTCTGCTCGCCGTCTCGCAACCACGCGATCGTCAATTTGTTCGACGCCGTCTGCCGCACCACACTCCCGTGCAATACACTGCACGCACTCGCTCGCGCTCGAACAAGTAAGTGGGGCCATGAAACTCGCGCTCGTACTCGTCTCGGCCGTCCTCGCTGGGTGCGTGACCCCCACGTCCCACGCACAGGACGCGGTCTGGCGACCGACAGCAGACGCACAAGCACGTGCGGTGCCTGGCGATGACCACCACGTGCGCCAACTGACCTCAGCCGTACAGCGATACTTGCAGCTCAATGGCAGTGCGGGTAGCGAATCCGGCCCCAGTACTCCTGCGTCCACTCCGTCGCAGGGGCCGCCGTCCACACCGACCGACAGCTCGCCGAGCTCAACTCCGACGCCCTCACCAGAGCAGCCGAGTACCCCACCACCAGACGTGCCGCCGTCGCCAACGCCCAGTACCCCTCCCAGTACCCCTCCGAGGTACCCCTACGAGTACCCCTCCCAGTACCCCTCCCAGTACCCCTCCCAGTACCCCTCCCAGTACCCCTCCCAGTACCCCTCCCAGTACCCCTACAACACCGGAAGCGCCGTCGCCGCCTACTACTCCGGACACTCCTCCCGCAAGTACACCGACGCCACCGGCGACGACACCCAACGCGCCCGACGCGCCGTCGTCAGAAGAAGCACCGGCTCCGTCTGTGCCGGACGCAACGAGCTCGACGAATCCGTCCGAAGGAACACCACCTGCTCCACCCACCGAGTCTCCGACTGCGCCTCCTCCAGGTACGCCTCCGTCAGCTGCGCCAACAGGTTCGACCCCGTCGTCGCCAGCAGTACCTTCCGCGGGGCTGCCGACACCTGATGGTATGGTAAACACGACAACAACAAGTTCCGGCTCGTCGTCGGCTGCTGAGGGACCCGCTTCGGACACGTCGAGTGCGTCGAGCATGAGCTCCGGTGTGGTCATTGGCATAGTCGTGGGCATTGTCGTTGCAGTCGCTATTATGGCCGTCATCGTCATGTGCATCATTCGTCGTCGACGCGAGATCGAAGACGACCCCCTGTCGCCCTTTGAGCTGTCGATGGACAAGGGGTTCAACCCCACACCAGTGGGTTTCACGGGCCAGAACTCGCACAATCCACGCGCGATGGGAGCTGGCAACGGATTGATGAACAGCACAGAGACACCGCCTGCTGGGACGGTCACAGCAGGCGGAGCTTATGCTCAGTTTTATGACAATTCCGTCACGTCCCCGGGCTCAGCGAACCGATTGGATATCAATGTGGACTCGACACATAGTGACGGTGGGCAGAACATTGCCGCTAATGGCACGAATCTATGGCTGAGTGCAATGGAACCCAAGGACAACGACTCGTACCTGAGCGCTCAGGGAGTCGCCACGCTCCTCACGTGGTAGTAGTTGTAACAGCTACGAGATGTCGTCTGGCTTGAGCATTGACGTGGATCAGCGCAGTCAGCTTAGCGGGCACAGCAATAAAGGCAGCGATGAGTTTCCGGACCACCACGACGACAACGACTCTGCTCGTGGCTCGTACGAGCTCTAGGTCTGGATTTGACAAGTGCTCGATACAACAGACAGCGGACAGCGGCGACAGCTGCGGATCAAGCGCAGTCTCTGTTGGTGGTGGTGGTGCTGCTACCGGTTTGGTAGATTTTGAAGTGATTGGAATGCGCACATCGA